TCGCTGAAATTTGGTACATTGTGTTCTTATTAAGTGCCAAATGCCTCCACAAAAAATTATAAATATAGGTCCACTTTTTCTGGTAGCCCCCATATAACGGTACCTCCTAATTTTCAGTATTTAGTACTTTGGGAATATAGGTCCATTTTTTCTTGTAGACCCCCATATAAAGGTACCCCAAATTTTCGTTTTTGGGGTTCAACCGAATTCGCTGAAATTTGGTACATTGGGTTCTTATTGGGTACCAAATATTTCCACTAAAAATTATAAATATAAGTCAATTTTTTCTGGTAGTCCCCATATAAAGGTACCCCCAAATTTCGGCATTTTGAGGTTCTTGAGCGCGTTTTATAACCGAAATCCCTGAAATTTTGTATTTTGTACCTGTATATGGAAACACACCTCCCTACCAAAAAATATTAATTGTCAACCCCTTTTAGGCGTAGTCCCCATATAACCCCATTTTTTTATATTAATATAATTATCTGATTTTTCCGCGTTTTGGGTTTGGTTCTAACACTCTGTTGTATATAATTTCCTATTAAAAATTATTGTTTACATAATCGGTTTGTAGATATGTCGGTATAGGTCCATTTTTTGTATGTTCCCTATATTTTCATTTCAAGTATCTGCCAGTATATCTATGGTGGAGGGTATCCAAAGTTCGGCCCGGCCGAACTTAACGCTTTTTCACTTGTTATTATATTTAAGTTGTTTGCGTAACTTCTGTAGTCTGAATTTGGCGCTTTTCAATATTTAACATAATTCATTGTAGAGTTGAATTTTGTATATTTGAGTTGCATTTTTATCATGAAATTTGATTATCAATATTACCTTTACTAAACATAGCCTGAAGCAATACTAAATTTACTTTAGCATAGTTTAACTTATTTATTTTATTAGAAAATTGGAAATTTGAAGCGTTTCGCTCATTCCGCTGAAAAAAAATGCTCACGTAATTGCGAATTTGTCGATTTCTCGTAGTTCTCAGGAGTTAGGACTGTTTACAGCACATTATGGGGTATTTTGCATTTAGATATTCCACATAAAGTCCAGCTCACGCAAAAACTGAAATCATTTGAATATTCACAACATCGTAGATACATAGAATGGGTGCTTGATCAAAAGACGGTGGACACCAATTTGTCGAACAAAATTTTCTTTAGCGATTAAACATATTTCTCACTCGGTGGGTATACTAAATCCTCAAATAATTAAGGGGACCCCCCCATTCTCGGGGTCAAAATTTTTGTGGATATAATTCGAATCTACACTGATTAAAGAATGTCCCTACAAAATTTCAAGTGAAAATCTCAAGAACTCTTGAAGATATAGCCGATTTATTGTGTCAGCATCAAGTGACGGCTGAAGGGCTTCTCAAACTTTAAACGCGTTTTTCTCTAAACATTTTTTTGCGAATGGCGGGCAGTTATCATGTCCGCCATCAATATAAGGACTTTTCTTTAATTACAAAAAAAACAACAAAACAATAACAAAATTTTTTTGTAAATTATTTTTCTTCTCTTTTAAATCTTCAATTATATATGTGCAAAGTTACAAACCTTAACAAGCATTTGTATTCATTTACCAGCCCATTGAAAATCTTGAAAAATTAAAATCGAGAATGGGGGGGGGGGGGGGGGGTTCCCTTAAAGCAAGGCCATTTTATCCAGAAAATTATTTTAACAAGACGGTGCCACATGCCACACAACTCGAATGAACATGGGTTTATTGCATGAGACATTTCCTGGTCGCGTAATTTCTCGTCGTTACGATATCAACTGGTCACCAAGATCATGCGATTTGACACCATCAGACTTTTTATGGGGCTACGTGAAAAACCGTTTTTATGCAGATAAGCCTTCAAACTTGAGTACTTAGAAACCAAAATTCATCAAGTTATCGCTGAGATACACAAAAAGTGATAGAAAATAAATCTTTATATATAAATGAGAATTGCTGTTCGTTAGTCTCGCTAAAATTCGGAAACAGCTGAAAGGATTTTTCTTATCTTAGTCTTGAAATGTTAGTGGAGCTTCAGGGAAGGTTAAAAAGGTTCAAAAAATTTGAAAATCGCGAAAATTTTGCAAAAAAATTTATGAAGCATATTTGCATTTCCACGAATTTATTATCAAGCTATTTTGGTTGCAACATCCACAGATGTTATTTTGAGACATTTTGAAAATTTTTCCAAATATTTTATTATTTATTTTTTTCAATTGGATTGATATTGTATTGAAACTATTTTATGTGAGAATACCTAAAAAATTTAAAAGTATAACATTGAATTTACACGCGATCATTGTTGGGCAATTGCTAGGATGGAAAATCAGAAGACATTCTGAATGGAGTTCGTGTCCATTCAAGAAATTTCCTTCAAAATAATTATAATAGTTCCATAAGAACATGTTGTTCCTTAAAGTACCAAATCAAGTGGTACCATATTATGGTGGTTATATGCATAATCATTTGTCAATATCTTTGAACTTATAAAAAGAATACCTCACATATATCCGACACAAAAAATTTGTATCACAGAAATAAAACTAATATACAATATATTTTCTTTGCAAAAATCTATCATTAACAAAAAACAGTAATATTTAAAAACAGCCAAGGCAAAATACCATATGTGGAGGTGATACCAAAATCTCCACCGAAAACATTTATTATAACAAAGAGTCTCACGATGTTACCTATAAAATTGCAAATTGTAAAAATGGGGGTAAGAACTTAAACATAACGAAAAATTGAACTGGAAATATTTATGGCGTTTTTTTAAACGTTGAGTTTTGTACATAATTTCTGGGATGATGTTATTTATTCACTGGAATCCGTTTTGCCTAATTATAGCCAACTCTTTGAGAAAATTCGGTCTTTATTTAAAATACCGAAAATGGGGACGGGGCCAGTATGTAGGAGCTATATCAAAACTTGGACCTAAATAAAGATTTGTTTGCAAAAATGTGTCTTACCCCCCAATATACCGGAATGACATATTACAGCTAATACAAAGATTTGACACCACTTGAGTAATGGTATGGGGGATACCATTTTATGGGTGTTACCTGGAAACTTGAACCAATATTGATAATTTTTTGTAATGATATTTTGTACTCAATGATGATCTAAAATATAAAATTACAACCAATTTGCTTGAAAGCGTGACGAAAATCCCCAAAATACCGAATATTGTATGTACCGTTATATTGGTCCACAAAGGTGGACCAATATTGATAACTTTTTTGCTCAGTAAGTATCCCTTATATTCAATTAGAAGCAATTCTGTTGAAGGCCGTGCCAAAGATCTTCAAAATACCGAATATATGCGCATTTAAATTTATTAAAAATAATTTTTTTTCCACGAATTCGAATATAAATAAATTTATATCAACAGAAACTTTAGAATGCAAAAATAGAAAAAACATATTACAAAGATCTGTACACTCTACCTTGTGGTGGGGGGTTTAAAAACAAATCTAAAATTCCGGGAATTATAAATCAACAATATTGCTAGGCAAGACGTTTGCCGGGCCCGCTAGTTTATAATAAAAAATATGTATCATAAAATATTTAAAATGTATTTTATTTACGTTTACTTTTGAAGCCACGAATTGGATAACCCTGTAAATTCACATATTAATAGAATATCATACAATAGAGGCTAACTGCCAAAATATTATAATCATTCCTGTGGTCCCAAAAACATCTTATTATAATTTGACGAACTGCGCAAGAATCAACCATTGAATCCAGATACTGATGAGAATGATATTTCTTCAGAAGCAATGCACAATGCATTAATACATTGCCTCTGAATAAATGTCATGTGTCAAATGTCATACTTGTAGATGACGTAAAATTAAAAAAAGGCAAAAAAATTTTTGAAACCGCAAAAACAAAATTGAAATTGTAATAACGCCGTGTTTCGCTTAACTGAGGAAGAGATACTTTTAGGCAGAAGGCAAATAGCACTAATCGGACATATAACAGTGCAATATTAGTGGAGTGGTAATTCGCCCAATAAGTTACATAATGCAACTGAGTGTCCATGAAAATGAAGATACTGTTTGTATCATGGAAGGAGGAAAACATCACCAAGTTAACAATTTATTCAAACCAATCCCGTACCAACAATATTTAATGATACACGCGCACATTGAATACATATTTTTTTAATTGATGTTTTTCTTACAATTTTTGTTGTCCCATTCAGAAAGGAGCTCCAATTATGGTTTTTGTAGGTCTTATTTAAAAAAACTTTAAGGATTCTCGATCAATTAATCATATATACATCGACATTTGCACAAGTTTTTGTTCAATTAAGATAAAATTAATTTTCAATTTTATTGTAAAAAACAAATTAAACTCATGGGCTCTTGGGGTTTTTCCTTAGCACCTAGTGTCTTTCACAAATGATGTCAAATATGTATGTAAAAAATGGCAGATTATTTTTCAATAATAATGCAATTAACCGGTAAAAAGTAAGAGGAAATTTATTTTTAGTGACATTAATTTTGAAATCAATTAACCGATAAATACTGTACTCAATATCCATTTGGCGATCATTTTGATATTTACTTATTCTGAAAGTTCTACGTTATCCGTCCGACATACCCCCTTTTATACTTATTCTTAGTGCTTTGGAAGTGTGGCCAAAATTGTCCAACTTAGGTTTTCATTCTATTTCAATATTGTCAATATGTCTGCCTATATCAATCGTTTCGCATACATCTTTATTAGAAGTGTGCAGTTTCTAACATTAAGATATATGTATGGCATATGTAACAAAGGTGAAAATATATTGTTTTTGTTTAGAATCTTATTATGTATGTGTTAAGTATGTATGTCTTTTGTTTAAGTATGATTATGTACACATGAGAAATGGGGTATTTTAAGCATAAATATTTTGCGGAATTATAAATAGGATAGATTTTTTTGGTTTTGAAGTAATTAACGTGTTGTCATAGGAAACAGTTGGGTTTTTTTATTCCACTTACCTTGGTGGATTTCCCTTGGCTTTGGCAAATTTGTTACACATGTGTGGGGGCACATAAGAACATTAGCAGGATGTAGAGTTCCATCTAAAAATCTTCGACGAGCTTCACATAGATTTATCCCTCCTAAAGGTGTCTTGGGCAAATGATTAGGCGGTACCAGCGCCAAACAATATATGCCAACTTGATGAATAGAATCGACTGCTTGCAGCACCCTAGACATCCATTGAAAACTTTCCTCTTCTGAGCAGTCAGGTCGTTGTTCTGCTATGACACATACACGTTCATCCCTTAAAACTTTTATGCTGAAAACTGCAATGCGGCCCCTATATATAAAACGCATTGGTTCCACCGCCAGTACAGTAGCAATTATATCGTCGGCGTTGTGCTTTCGTCCTGTAACAGTCATCAATCCATCACGTGAACCACAAACAAAAACTAGACCACCGGGCCCTAAAAATCCTAAAAGGCCGGAGCGTACGAAGAACTCTTCGCTAATAGGTTTAGATTTAATGATTTGACCATCTTTATCACATTCTGGATCTTCCAAAAGGGGTTGCACTTTGAAAGTCGTATTTGTCAAGCCCTCTAATTCATAGTAAGTCGAACCTGTCGCACCACTTGTAACGCATATTTCACCAACTTGATCTGTTTTGCATAAAACCGGGTGTCCCTCCGACCTCACTACTACTATTGTAGCCGTTGGCATAACTTGCCCACAATCCTGCAGTGTTAATGAGGTCAACGAATCTTCACTGTCCACTCGAACCACGCCATGAGACAAGGCAGCCATTGATAGTACCCCTCTGCCAGTAGCCGACTGACTAAATCCAACCGATGAACGTCCAGGACGACGCAGAGAGACCGTAAACACCTCCGAGCTACTTGCACATGGACAAATAGCATCAGCACGTAATCCCTTGGACTGAAAAACGCTTAAAAACTGATCGCACGAGGACAATGACCATGGATTTGCTCCATCGGCGACAAGGAGCATTCTGAGAGATGAAAGGGTTATATCTTTATGGTCTTTCGTTGCTAGAAGGCCCCAGTGCAAATCTCTGCTTTTGACTAGACAACATGAGGCCCTATGTTTCGTTATTAACTGCATCCACGATGATGGCCTTAACTTCATTAGGGCATAAGGAATAAAAAGTACATGCATCCCATTCAAAACGGAAGTGAGAACGGCATGCCAAAGTCCAACTTCACGCTTGAAATCTAAAACACACACCATAGTTTCGCCTTCTGTATATCGGCATGCCATAGTCAATGCCCTACAATGATTCATCATAGCCAATCGTGTAACCGTTACTCCTGCAAAGATTGGACAAAAGGAATATTTAAAATTAAATACCATACTAGTAAACGGAATAATAAATAAAACAGTTAACAGCGAAATGTATACACTTAAATAAAATGTTCGACATACTTAATATTAATAATAATCTAAATCATTAATATAAACGAAAAAAAAAAAATTTCCTCGCAATCCGGATAATGTGCTTTTCAATGCCTCAAATTCTTCAAATAAAAATTGTATTTGAGATATAATTTATTCTAAGACGGAAACATCTGCAATTGATTTTTTATTGCGACATAGCCCAACAATGTTCTACAATCTAGAATTTTTATAAAAATTCTACAATCCTATAAACAATCTAGTCCATTAAAAGGACCTCCCCCATTCTCGGTTTCAAAAAATCGAAATTTGGTTTTCTATTTAATTCGAACCACAGTAATTCACGAATGCTCCTTTAAAATTTGAAGTACAAATCTCAAAAATTCTTGAGAACCTAGCCGGGTTATTTATCAGCATAAAGCGATGACAAGTATGCATCTGAAACTTTACAAATGGCAGGCACGATAACTCAAACAGAAAAATAGGGAATTAAAAAATTATAGGTTCGTAATTTTGTTTATTTTTATGTGATATTAATAATCCTAGTTCAGACGAGACCCACACATGTGCTCTTTCGAATTCCGTTGGAATTTTTGAAATGTTCCAATGATCTGAAATTATGCCCGCCGTCGAAAAGAAGGAATTTTCCTTATTACAAAAAACAACTACAAAACATTAACAACAAAATTATTTCAATTAATTTATGCTTTAAGTTTCAAAGTAATTACATACAATGACACAAGTCTTCAAAATAATGTACGTTCACTTGCCAGTCGGTTGAAAATCGACTGGTTGCCCTTCCTATACAGGTACACCTTTTTGACTACAGGTACACCTTTTTGACTATCGAAAACCTAAATATTCGCCACACCCACCATTCCTGATGCAATATTTAGTACTTAAGGGCTTTGCACCCAATATTAGAATTCTACCCTCACCCGTACCGTGCCGTATAGTAGGGAAGACTGGGGCGCCATTGGCATTGGAGCACATTTGACAATGGCGTTTTTGATATGAAGCTCTCATTATACATCACTAGCTTTGATACATAGGTATCGAATATCAAAATAAATAACTGTAGCAAAGTTTGAAACCTCTAGCTAGTAAGCTTATATAAATGCACGGGTTTTTGTACTCTTCCATTCCATTTCATAAGTATTTTGTGTATTTCACTTTTCAAATTTTAAGGCAGTTTTTTTAGAAGATTGATAGGAAGAAATGGAAAAATATAAGTGTGTGTGTGGACTTTGAGACGTAAACGTCCGCAGCTAGAAAATATAGCCTTAAAAGTCAAACATTGAGTCGCATATTAAAACAAAATAGAACCTTTATAGTACTGAGATATAGAGCTTTAAAAATGTGCCGAATGTGCACCAGTCTCCCCTACCGTTTAGTAATTATATTACAGATATATGGTACGATTTTAGTACTAATTTCCATCATTCAGGCATAACGGTTGCATTGTAATATATTTTTTCCCTTTAATATTTTTGCACATCATTCTACCTTGAATAGCTTAAGCATGATATTTATTTACTTAATGAACCATATTTGTATCGATTTTCAAAAAAAAAAAAATATATTTTTAATAGTTAAAGCTAGATTCGAAGTTTCAGATTTATATCACTATCGGTTCCATTGTATTATAATATTTAATACAATTTTTGTACCAATTTCCAAAAAATATTTTTGCACATCATTCTATTTTTAATAACTTATGCTACATAGCAAATGTTTGTACCTTTATTCCAGAATTCCAAATTCCTTTTTAGTACGAATTTTCACAAACCCCGAATTATCACACGCCGCAACAATAACGACGCGTTATTGATACAGAGTAGGGGAGACTGGGGCACCTTCGGCATCGGGGCACCTTCAGCAATCGCGTTTTCGATATGAAGCTCTCACCGTACATCAGTAGTTTCGATACATAGGTATCGAATATCGAAATAAATAACTGTCACAAAGTTTGAAATTTCTAGCTAATAAACTTATTTAGATGCACGATTTTTTGTATTTTTACAGATGTGAAAATTTTGAGAAAAATCCGCGAAAATGTTGCAAATATATTTTGGAAGATATTAGGATTTCCACACGTTTTATATCGAACTTTTATGATTTTATCCCTTCATAGTTCTTTTTGGACACATTTTGGGCGAAAATTGGCAGCGTATAATATCTTAAAGTAATTGTCAATTATGGAAAATTTTCAAAATATGTTAATTTTCTACAATTAATTGGATTGTCATTGCCAAGAAAAAACTATTGTATATGAAAATTTATATGTTCATGTATGTTCTAATACTAATAATGCGATAATTAACATATTAGTATTCACGTCAGATATTTGAAGTTTTGTCTTATTTTCTTTAGCTGTTGGATATGAAATCCTATTTTCATATTTGTCAAAATTGTATTATTTTAATACCCTTCACCACACTGTGATATAGGGTATTATGTCGTTGTGCCTACGTTTGTAACAGGCGAAAGGAAACGAGATAGACACATGGTTCCTTTTGAGAATATGCATAGAATCACTTTTTAAGTCGATTTATGCATGTCCGTCTGTCTGTACATGTTAAATTGTAAACAAAGTACAGGTCACATTTTTGATTCGAATTGAATGAAATTTGGCACAGCTCATTTATTTGGCCCAAGGACGACCCCTATTGAAATTGGGAAAAATCGGTTCAGATTTAGATATAGCTCACATATATATTTTCGTCCGATTTTATGTAAATGGCGCACCAAAGTCCCTATATAACTTTCGATTTACATGAAATTTGGCATAGCGTACTAAATAAAGCCTAGGGCGATGTGTGTTAAATTTCGTGAAAAACGGATCAGATTCAGATATAGCTCCCATTTATATTTTCGCCCGATTTTAGGTAAATAGTGCACGAAATTTGGTATAGCGTGTTTAATTGAGTCTAGAATGATGTATGCTAAGATTCGTGAAAATCGGTCCAGTTTTAGATATAGCTCACATTTATATTTTCGTCCGATTTTATGTAAATGGTGCACCAAAGTCCCTATATATCCTTCGATTTGCACGAAATTTGGCATGGCGTACAGAATTGAGCCTAGAATGATGAATGGTAAGTTTCGGGAAAAAAATTCGATATACCTACCATATATATTTTCGTCCGATTTTATGTAAATGGTACACCAAAGCTCTATATAGCTTTAGATTTGCACGAAATTTGTCTGTCTGCCCATGTTATATTGTAAACAAAGTACAGGTCGCATTTTTGTGACGTACAGAATATTATGTATCAATTTTACTATACACCGTTTTCCATAAATGTGTCCCATGGTACGCAGACGACACTAAATTTGACCGAATGAAATTAAATTTAGCATAGGTTGTAGAAAGACATGAGTATGTTCCTTCGAGTGAACATTGGCATGCAATTCTAAGGGTACATATTGTTACGTTCTTGGATTTTACCTCATCCCGTGTAGACGTTGTTTTCTTTCCCGATACAATTCGTACCAAATAAAACGCGGGTTCTTTCTGATTACGATTATTACAATGATTTTATTCACACAACTTTACTTTGCACTTTACTTTACACGACGGTTTCAATTCGCGATCTGATCCACAACTGACTAACTGCCTTGCCATTCCCTCTATTTATATGAGCCCTGCCTGTCGCTACAGAAGTTTCTAGACGATCTGGTAACATCTGGATCACGAACAATCTACCAATGCAACAAACACACATACAAACTTACATTGAGTAGACAATAACAACAACACATACAAACTTACATTGAGCAAACAATAACAACAACACATACAAACTTACATTGAGTAAACAATAACAACACATATACAGGTGAGGGGGTAACAAAGAAAGAGGAATTAAGCGATCATCAATGATGACGTTTAACAAGAATTGTACGTCAACAAAAAAATAGACAATGAAAGAGGAAATGGAAGGATGTAGAAAAATCTATACAGTAGTTGTTGTTGTGAAGTTATTCAAATAAACTGCGTAGTAGAAATTTACGTTACAATTCAAATTCTTAAATTAACGGAATTCATCTAAAGTAACTTAAATCTAAGTTTATATTCGTAACATTGCCCCCCGCTTAAGCCTGTTCGTCCCGAATAGGCACAGTTCCCGTTCCGTAGGGGGTCAGCCGCTCCAAATGTACCACTTTCATCTTCGACCTGGGACTGTCGCTCCTCTGGATGCGGTAAACGACGTCATTTATCTTCGTGACAATCCTGTAGGGTCCTTCCCAGTGCGTTTGCAATTTGGGGCATAGTCCTTTCTTTCGTTGTGGGTTGAACAATAGTACCAGTTGCCCTTCTTGAAACCCATCGGTATTTGCCGCTCGATCGTACCTTGCCTTCATGCGGTTGCTAACCATTTTTATTCGATGTCGGACTGCATCGTGGACTTTACTAAAAGAGTTTTGACTGTCTTCATCTTGGTTCACATCGTCGTTTGGGGTAGCACCGAATATCAAATCGCCAGGTAGCTTTAACTCATTTCCGAACAGAACTTTGGCTGGGGTCCGGGATGTGGAATCATGAATGGCCGATCTATAAGCCAGTAGAAACTTGGGGATATGCTCATCCCAGTCTCGTTGACCGCTGTCCACCACTTTCCGTAGATGTTCTTCAAGGGTGCGATTGAATCTTTCCACCATGCCATCTGATTGTGGATGTAGGGGCGTCGTTCTGGTTTTCTTGATTCCGTAGGAGTCACACATTTCCTTGAAGATCGCCGATTCAAAATTCCTACCTTGATCGGAATGAACCTCAGATGGAACACCATAGCGACAAATCCAATTTTTGCTGAACACATCCACAATTGTCCTGGCTTCTTGATTTGGGATAGCATAAACCTCTGGCCATTTACTGAAGTAATCCATGACCACTAAGACATACCGGTTCCCA